AATGTGGTTATGAAGAAGCAGGAGATTCCTGTCCTTTCTGCTCAGGGACACCGCTGGCTGATTTAATGGTCCTTTCATGGCAGGGACTACATGCCAGCACAGTCTGATGAAGGGCCAGGATAAACTCACAAATCCTCACATCAGTCAACACTCCTTTAGGGAACAAAGCAGAAACCAGACCTGAGAGAAGAATCTAAATATTGGGTAAGTGCAGGAAACTGTGAGGACAAAATGGGAGGTTTCATGCAGAACTGACCCATAGGTTAGAAAAGGAGGCAGCATCCTGAGCCAGTTGTTACATGGGAGATGCAACTGAACATCCATTTTCTAGGTGATGACATTTTTGTGACAAAGACAGGGGCTTTATAAAATAAAAGCAGATGATATAGCTTGTAACAAGCAATATCATATAGACTTGGTCATAATTTGTTCTGTTTTGCCAGCTTAATAGAAGTTGTATAACATGTACACTGCTGTATTCCAGGAAAGGTTTTCTGGCTGTGTTTTTTGTTTGCATTTGTTTGTATAAACAGCACTAATGTTCTGACCTTTAGGGAGACTATTTGGAACCACACAAGCAAATCAAAGGTGTACAAAATGTCTCTGTGACAGAGACTCTGCTTCTGATTTACCAATTCAGACTACTCTAATTCTGCAGCAGGCTAGATTAAATTATTCCAGCTGGCTGGATGATTCTTATAAGCTGTCTGTCCAACAGTCCTGCTTCTAAAAATGCCACCAGCTGGATTTACAACACTGATCTCACTGCTAAGTAATCCTTTACTATCACTAGAAGTTCCCACAGTTGAAGAAATTGCAGTAGTATGGGAAGGCTGCTATTTCAGAATTTCTAGCCTCTCCCTTTGATTCTCATTTTTTGGGGGGGTATTTTGTTCAGTTTTCTTAGTGGCTTTTAGCAGCAGCCAAAGTAAATCTCCATTCCAAACTGTGTAACGCTCAATACTGTTCTGGCTCTCCTTTTCCTACTCAGCTCTCAATATGTATTTATCTCAATACTGTTCTGGCTCTCCTTTTCCTACTGCTGTGGTGGATGAAATAACTTTGTGTTTATAATCTCCATCAATGGGTTTTTGAAGGTTGACTTGGTGGGCAGTGAAGAAGGAGTTTATTTTTTTCATCTTTTATGGACTATGGTCTCTTGTTTGAAAGTCAAAGCCAAAATAATTAAGCTCCTTGACCTTCTGCCTTTACATTGACAAGGTTCTACAGTGCACAGGCAGCAAGCAGTTGGAGGGCTCCTGCAGCACAGTTTTATGTTTTTGCTTAAAAAAAAAAAATTAAGGGTGTGTGTGTTTATGGGTTTTATTACTTTCCTGCATGGTAAAGTTAAAGGGTCCCATTTTCATCATGAACCTTTTAGAGGTTGATACCTTTTGTATTTTAATGAGGTGGACAGTGCCTGAACAGCAGCACTTTGGTAAATTCTGCTGCACTTTGTGCTGCTGCTTTCTGAAAGGAAGATGGCTTTTCTTATACATTCTATGGACTTGGAAGCATTAAAAGCTGTTTTGTAGACAAACATCAGGCAGCAGACACAGATGACTGGTGTCTTAGTTGGGGGCTTTGCTTGAGCCAAGATTTTCTTTTAATCATTGTAATGCAGTAGGATGCTTATGCAAAGAGAGAGGAATTAAACACACTCAAGTATGTATCACAGGGACAAGTAAACGCTCGATTTGTTTAAGCACTCCAAAGCCTGCCTTTTCTTTCCATGGTAGCAGTGCCAAACATATTGATGATAATCTGGTACACAGTTTTAAAGCCCTTACATTCAAACTATTTAAGCATTAGTTCAGTTATTCTGCTACTAAAGTGATAATTAGGGGCTAAAAGGTAACTAGATTACTGTACAGATTTCTCTTGACAGCCTTTAACACCTAGTTAAATGTTGAAGCCTGGAAATTACAAGCCTCTTGGTATCATTGAGACCACAGTATATTTTGAAGCAATTTGCTATTTCTAGATGGTTTTTCATGCTATGGTACCACTCCAGTGATCTCTAGCTTTCTCTGAGTGGCTGCCCACTTGCAAAACGTTTTTACTAGGCAAAAAAAAAGTCTGTAGGAACAAACTGCTGGCTTAGTATGGATGTTAGGTGGGATTTCCAGATGTGTAAAGAAATTTGCAGCTGATTCAAGATATACTGGGGCTGTTTAAAAGCTTCTCCTTTGTATGCACTTGGATTTAAGGTCTGTTTGAGCTGATCTGATAGTTTTCTAGTGCTGTGAGGAAGAGGTACTGCTCTGACCTCTCTCCAGGCTCACTTTCTCTCTGCAAGGGGGTCACTTTAACATACATTGGGGACCTCAGTGAGAATGTAGGGACCAAAATGGTTTGGAGTGGGAGGAAGGAGGGGCAGGAATGGACTGATCGTGGTCTGCTGGAATTGATCAAAATTCTTTTGTACTTCATACTTGGGATTGGTTTCCACAGCAAAACCCATATGAGCTTGTCCAACAGGAATGAGAAAAGCAGTAAAAGGCAGTATCAGGGAGTTAGTGTGCAATTAGCAGTCAGTGTGCAATTAGCAGTCAGGGTAATCCTGCCATGACTTTTCTCTGGGTGCCTACACCTGCTCAAGCCTAAGCCAGCAAATGTTCGTTGCTATTCTTACTCACAGCAGCTAAAATAAACCAATTCACTTCTGTAGCTATTTTCCTTCATCCCTCTCCTCTGCCAGCAGTATCCCGTGCAGAAGTGAGTAATAATTAACAGCAACAGACTTGAAAGTGCACGACTCGTTAAAAAGACTTTTGCTCTATCCTAAAGTCAGCCAGCTTGTCTAAAGTTTTTCTTACTGTAGTTGGTGAGAGCTGTAGACATTACATCTTCCAGTGATAGCTTATAGAAAATAACTTATTTATACAGACAGCCCTTGTATGGGTGGATGTATGTTCTGAGAACACCACCAGCTGCCATCCTTCCCTGAAAAATTGCACCCATGTTATTCAGCGTGATTGATTTGAATCTGTGCTTGTACTTTGGAAACAGTATGTGTTCCGTAAATAAGACTGAACTGTGCAGATGCAAGTTCAAATTGGCAATTAATACTTGACCTTTTTGGAACTTACCTGTCTAGTTTTGCAAAGCAGCTATCTGAAACTTTGAAAAACAAATCCTAAAAGGACAGAATCCATCTCACCATCTGAAAAGGAGGCGTCTTGTCTAAGCTATTTGGCCTGTTTGTCTCTGCTCTCTGTTGTCAAGGGAGATTTATCTCCACAGAGTGATTTGTCCTGTCCTAAAAGATGCATATCTGGCTATCAGGAATGATCATCCTCTGGAGATGTTAAATCTCTTTCTATTCACTGCAGGAGAAATTCAGGTAACTAGATGAATCCTGCATCTCCTGTGGATCCAGCTGTGCATGACTGAATGGCAGTGGTTTCCACTTAGCATGGCACTCTGCTTCTATCAAGAGAAATGTGGAGGTCTTTGTTAGCAAATACTAAATAGTAATAGCACTGAAAAAATCCTACTTTCAAAATCAAAAGAACCTAGTGAAGTATTAAGTATTGCAAAAAAGCTCAACATTTTTTTCTATTTTTTTTTTTTGTAGTCTGATGAATTTATAACTTAAAAACTCTTTTAAAAATATCTGAAATTATACTGAAACATTGTATCAAATGCAATGGTATATTTTAACCAGATTTTTGCTTTCTTGTGCAGTCATCTTGCTTTTGATTGAGCACTGCTTTTCTGTAAATCTGAGTAGCAAGGTCCTTATTTACTGCAGCATCCTTAACTTCCAGCTCTTAAAGGAGTGATACATGATATATCCACTTATCATAGAATTTAACAAAGGTAACCAGAAGTCAATTGTGTAAGGCATGAATAATTTAATGAGAAAGCTGCCACTGGCTACATTATATATCTATGTAGCTTATAAAACAAAGCAAATGATTACTATCAATTATAATACCATCATTTGACAACTCTGCAATTAATTCCCTACTTCTAAATAACCACTGTTGCACAGTGCCAAAGAAAATGCCATGAATTCACTGACTCACCACCAGTCTGTGATAGACAGTACAGATGGTAATTTGATTACTCATCTCAAAGAAAATAAGTGCTTTAATTTAAAAACAAAACAAAAAACCAAAAAAACCCCAACTATTTATTCTGATCTTTTGAAAGAATAGGGATACCTTTTAAGCAGGGATATCTTTAAAAATAATCCCTGCAGTAACACACAGTTTTTCTGAAGCATTATTTGATTTGTTAGGATTTGTGGAGCAGAGCTGTTTGTTGGATAGTTCACAGAGATGGCACAAGCTGATATAAAAATGCTCCTACACAAGAAGAATGGAAAGAGTCTGCTTTGCCTACCAGACAGGCTGCAAACTTTACATCTAGAAAAAGTACTCCTAGGGGAGATGAAAATATTTATCCAGCAAGAGTAAGGGGCTATCCTGCAACAGCAGGATCATCACATTATGGTCTTTTCTGAGACAATTACAGACGTGTATTTAAAATACAAAGTAGGAACCAATTCTGCCAGGTTTTACCTGTGGAGTTGACTTTATTTCTTGAGCTGACCAACAGGATTCTGTGGAAACATCTCCAAATTTAACTGTCAGCTTATTTATACATGAATCAAAGGCAGAATGATACTCAGTGTTACACACCTGTGAGTAGCAAAAGTAGCCCTTTTATACCAACATTACTTTGTGGTTGATCTTCTGTTTACTAAGGATATAAAGGACCCACCAAAAGTTGTAAAATTGCATTGTAAACAGTGCATATGAGGATCTAGGGTGTCCATGTCTACAAGAAATGCAACAGTTTCATTTTGAGATATGAGAAACAATTTGCAGTGTGTGGGCAAAAATAAAGGAGTTCCCTGATTTTCAGAACAGATAAAGGGAAACAATTTTTATGAGTACAAATTAGTTTGCAAAATACCTTCAGGCAGAAATGGCAAAGTGAGTAACTCATACTGGTGGTCATTTGTAACTCCAAGTAGGTTGACATACCTCCCCAGAGAAAGCCTGTCCATTGAGGAGGTGCTCTGATCCCTGGCTGTCTTCACTCCCGAAGTGTAACCGGATTTCCTCCAGGCGGTGACTGTAGGTCATCGGCCCTCCCGAGATGTTGACCAAATGCTCTTTGTCTAATCGTAGAGATACATGTCTCCCTGTGTTGTACATTGTCCCACTCACCTAAACAAAATGAGGAGGGGGGAAAAAAGCATTTTTTCAATAAAATTTATAAATCCCAGAAACTTGTTATACGTACTTCGAGATTGTACCTGCATTTGAAAGTAGAAATGCATCTTCTTGTAAGGTGAAATGCACAACCTGAGGTTATACTTCAATTTCTCTTCTGGATCTTATACTGTATATTCAAATATTTTGCTAAATCCATCTTTTAGCTAGAGGCAGATGTTTAACACCACAAATAGGATTGTTACACTTCTTAATAAGTAGGCTTTTAGAATATATTTTAGTGCAAGGGCTGAATAATGGCTTCATTACCAAACTTCTGCACTGAAAATGGGAACATTTCAGCTGACATAAATTATATAAGTACACTCAAATCTGAAATTTAACTCATTTGTTTCCTTTTAATATTTATAACAAAGTTATCCAAAATAAAGGTGTTGCAAAAAGCAGCAATATAACTATTCATAAATAGGGAGCCCTGCTGCTACTGGAGCTGCAGGTAAAAACTTTCATTGTCCTCCTCTGCAAGCCTCTTTGTTGTGTTATGAATATTTTATGTTTACCACTGCTAGATGTTTTAGCCATTGCAATACAGAATTAATTACAATTTCATCATAAATTACTAGTTCCTACTACACCTCAAATAGCTGTAACGCTCTTCAAGATTCATCTTTATTTTTTAAAAGCCTAGATGTTATGCTTCATTTGCAAAGTGATTTACAGCTACTGTAATGGAAAAGAAAATGATTGTGGACATTTCTCACATGGAATATAATTCTGCCTTCATTTCCACTGCCATAGGAAAAGTTCCTCTAGCAAGGGGTTCCTTAATTTATGCCATTAGAAAGTGAAATATGCCAGTTTGAGTTAAAGTTGTGACTTATTTAAAAGCATTGGGCATGGATACAAATGGTGCACTTGCAGAGCATTCAGTTACTTGAAGAAGACGATGTGTAGCAATAATATGCTTTGTTGCACTTCAATTTAAAATGAAATACATGACTATTGTGTATTCTATACTACATCAGTACTATAGTAATTAACATTTCTGCAGTACCATTTTATCTGTAATACTAATTACTGACTTTAAATGACCTGTTTCTTGCACAGTATGTTGTAAAAAGTTACACTGCACAGACTGTGCAATAGAACGAAATGGGTGAGATTAAACAGCTTTTGATGGTTGTGTTTTTCATAAACTTTGACACAGATGTTCTAATTTTGTGTTTATTCCAATTCAAACTAAGCAGTAATAAACTTCTTATTGAAAGTAACAAACACAAATATTCTTAATCCTTACAAACAAATCACAATGATCTTATTTATAAATGCTCCTTAGTTTTTCTGCTTGACTTTGCATGCATAATAATTAAATACCAAGTTTAGTTTAATAGGTGGAAGAAGGTCAGTTTATTGGATTCAGTTTCAGTACATAGCATGTAAATGACATAAAATTGCTAATCTGAAAGTAACAAATGTACGTCAAAAACAAACAGGAAAATGGTTTAAAGCCTCTTATTCACTAAGCACTTAGTTAAATTCAGCAAATACGCAAAATATTCAGAATCCTTTCTCTTTCTTAAATTGGTACAAATCTCACACCTCAGGGTACCATTATGTTCTCTCTCGTGGTGAAAGTGATCCAGAGAGCACAGTGTTTATCACAGCACTTGGTGGATTGGATAAAATGTTAGGGTAGTTTAAAAGGAAAATACAAAAGATCTGTTAAGATCTATACAACTACTTTCTTAATGTGCCAGACTAATCTTTAGTGCTAAGTCATGGTATTGATGGTCTTTGTGTTGCTTCTTGCTCTGCTACTAAGTAACCCTTTTGTTTTGTGTTTCCCTTTGATTGGAATGTTACATTAAGATGAATACAGTGCAAACAAGCTTGGGGAGGAAAAATAAGAGCACTAAATCTTACCCTCCTGTTTTTCAAAAGGATCAACATTTGTATTTATCTTATGCACTAGAAATGAGATGGCCATAAAGAAAACATATATTTAAACATCAGTAAAAGCCTGTCTGAGAAAACAACCATGTCCAACATTGTCAAAGTTAATGATCATAACACAGTTTTAGTTGACCCTGTTTTCCTCATACATTAAGAAACATTTCCAGAAGGGTAATTTTATCTGTGACAAAATCCCCCAGTAGAACAGAGGACACTGATGGGCTTCAGCCTTAATTGTGTGATAGTTCAACTTTGGTAGACTTTAATTAAATTATTAACATATTCCTGATGTAGTTATTTTCTATTTAATCTCATTTATTTTAATTCTTGCTTCAGAGCTTTGAGCACATAATTCCCCAGCAGCATTATTCTCTCTTTATCTTGAGGCAAGACAGCCACACAGGCACACTCTGCTAAAATATTCTGTACTGTGTTTCTGAGTAAGAACTGAATACTCATGTAGTATCTTGTACAACTTGCTGGTCCTGGGATCACAGAAAGGTCCTAATTCTTGTCTTTGAATGGTAGATCACCAGCAAAGTCAGAAAATGAATACCCAATAAACAAAAACTTTGAGGCATGTTTATCTTGAAACTCTACAGACCTCTATGACCATTAGGAAAAAACCCAAGCAGAGGAGGTTTCTTTTGTTTCCCCTCTCTAATGATGTTCTTTAACCCTGCATTTGTGGAAGCATTTTTATTGTGTCCTAGTTAACTGTATATCTTGTTCCACTCATCTTTTCTTCCACAAACTAGTCCTGAACTAAATATTTTTCACAATAACTTTAGTGGCCTACATCTTAATATTACAGTTTGTATAAAAATAGCCTTCAAAACCCTGAGCAGAAGTCACAGAAAAGGGAAGAAGGAGCTGAGATGGGTCCTTTGCCTTTCAATCCCATGCTACGTTAGCAGCTCACTGTCACCTTTCTTCAGTAATGCAGGCTCTCTGCTTCCTGGGGCCTTTACAAAAGAGCAAAATACTGCATTTTGGATTTATTCAAGTGAGTGTAGTCTGAAGATTAATACCAAGAACATTTTAAACTTGTATCAGTACTTGCCAGTGGAGCAGCACTGAACATAAGGAAGGAAGAAAATCAATTGTGTGTGGCTGCCTGCTGTGGTGTCCTTGGATCTTATCTGCAATATTAGATGTTCCTTTCTTTGGGATGAAAATAGATACAGTCCAAAGAAGGCCTAGTACTGTGTAGG